CCACACACACACACACACTCACACACACACACACGCACACATACACACATAAACACACACACACACAAACACACACACACACACTCACACAAACATGCACATTTTCCTCCTTTTCCTTCTCGTCTTCCCCGTACTCTTCCTCCTTCTCATTGTCCCCTCTCCCTTTCCCTCTCCCCCGATACCTCCCCCTCCTCTCCCTCCTCCTCCTCCCCTCCTCCCATACCTCCTCTCCTCCCTTCGATTCCCCCCTCCCCCTTTACACCTCCTCCCCGAGAGTCCCTCACCTGTTTCGCCTTGGTCCTTTCACCCAGAGACAGTTGGATATACTTCTTCTCCAGCTCTCCGATACTTTTACTGTCCGCTGGGGTGTCGTGGGCAAAGATGACCCACAGTATGCACCAGATAAAGCCAACACCTCCTGGTGATACGAGAGCAAAAGGTTAGAGACAACGGAGTGAGTCCTGCCTGATGTCGGGGAGGTGTTGGTGGTGTTTGTATATTTAGCTTTTTTCTGTGAGGGTAATTAAGGGAAGGTGCTATAGAAACTGGCCTCCTTTTTATTTTGCTATAATAAGCATTATATATGCACCGTTCTCTGTTATAACTGTCTTCATCGTAATTAAGGGGAGTAGATCTAGGGATTGGAAAGGACAGAATCATCATTCCTGGGCGACCGAGAGGAATATTATGAGAAAGCTGCTTTCCTTTCACACTATTTTTACGGATTACTTAAACTGCCTCATTTCGTAAGATTTTAGTACTAAAAAATACGAAGGCTTCCGCATAATTCGACTAATAGGGTTCATATTTCGTATGATGTCTTTACAACCGTATTGCAACATTTTTGCAACATCATATTAGCATAGTTTGTTTAGTTGTTTTTTTTTGGGGGGGGGGAGTAGATTTTTTTATACCCCCCCCCCCCCTAAAATGTTCGCATTTTTCCCGATATAACACACAGGGAAAGCTACAAAAGAAAAAAAACCCCAAACCCAGCAACTATTAGAAATAAGCAGTTTCCTTTGTTCACAAAACTTTTGCATTGTTGTAGTTAAGGATCTTACCAAATAAAAAAGAAATTGTTTGAAAAATGAAAAAAGCCGTAGGATTTTAAAAAAATTTCCTAAATTTTTAGCTCAACGTTACATAATATACAACCCAGTTGTCGATGAATGATGATTTCATCACATTCAAATTATATCTAACCATTCCTATGCACATGCTAAACACAGTGATAACACAAGACATTGTGTACATGGCGAATATAAAGAGATGAACATTTCAGTAGCATCTTCCCTTACATTGCCTTCAGAGGCCTGAAGCATGTCTTTCTGCCTGTCTTTCTGTCTGTATCGTACCCCTACTCTCTCTATTGCTCCCACTCTCTCTCTCTCTCTCTCTCTCTCTCTCTCTCTCTCTCTCTCTCTGTCTGTCTGTCTGTCTGCCTGCCTGCCTGCCTGCCTG